TCTATGAAGATTTCTTTTTCTCTGATCCTCAAATACCAAAAACTAGTGTATTTTTCCCTTTCTTTTCTGCCTAACTTAGCTCTGTGTCTGGAAATTAAGCAACACGACTCTACATACAGAATAACATTTTGACTTCCTAAGGAAATACCACTGAAACACTTAGTACTGTTTGATATCTCTCTTGGGAAAGCAAAACACATTTATTAAATCATGCATGTTAACTCCAAAAGCTAACAGAAGGAAATAACTGCTTTATTCTTTGCATTGAGGTTCTGTACAAACAGGTACTGTCACGGACTACTATGCACTGATCCTTCTGTGCTTAGGCAAGCACATAACAGAGCATTCTTGAAAAGGCTTTCAAATATCCCCACTACTGTATTTTGCAATCATTCACATTCCTGTCCTATCACAGAAACAGAATGTTTGTACAAATTTCCTGCTACTAAAAAAAGGCAAAAATTTATATCACATAAATTTCAAATTTCCCTAGGCAATTATATGCTAATTTCCAGATTTCACCTAATATTAGTATTGCATGATGATGAAACAGATGATCTTTCTAACCACWTCGGGGCCACCAGAGAGGCTTTGTTTTATTTATCCTGTTTTTATGGAACAAAATTGGTTATATGTTTGGCCTTGGAGGAATCTCCACATGTACCCACCGTATCGGACTTCAGCTGCCAACTTCAAACGCTCCATCTTGTTCTTTTCTAAAGACACAGCATATGAAAAGCCACGTGGCTCCTGGCATGTTTTATGTATCATTCATTTCAGAATTACTACCTTAGCTAATGATAATCTCCGGAGTTAAAATAATCCCAGATGAGTGTATGGAGTGTCATCCGCAAACTGTCTCATCTCCAAGGGCTTATAACGAGTTTAAAAGAATCCAAAATGGAATTATGGCAGAATTACAGCCACTGGGAATTGGAGATTTCAGGGTGATGCAGTTCCTGCTGACAATCCTCTGCTTTCCAAAMCCTGTTTTCCCAACTATGTTATCCTCTACCTTGAACCCTTTTTCTCAGATCCTGCAAGAAGCTGGACACAGACACCAGTCCCCAGGGAACCACCACCACCCATCAGCTGGAATAAGGGGCCAGCGAGCCGACGGTGCAGGATTAAATAGGAGATTCCCAACTGCCAGCTGGGAAGTCGGTTTCTACACTTCATATGATGAGTAGGAAGGTGCAAGGGGGGAAAAMAAAATAAAAAAAAAACCTCATTCACTTTTGCAAAGGGAGAGAGGAGAAGGAAGMTATTAATGTTCAAATGTATAACAACATACTTCACAACCCTGTGAAGTTCTATTAGCATTAGTTCTATTAAGAAAGAGGCARAGTATATAATTTTATAGAGCTAGACTCTTTTATTTCCCCTCAATTCCAATATTTGCTCTAGTAAATTCTTTTCTTCTTGTTGGTTTGTTTGTTTGGTTTTATCACATACGTTGATTATTCCAGCACTAACCTCCATGTTCACGGATATTTTTGCCGTATCAGAAAAGGAGACAGGAGGTGATGGCAAAAGCACACCAGCTCTGTTAGGAGGCTGTACCGAACAAAAGTAGGAAAAGAAGTGGGACTCATACTCCCCAGTACGGGCACTTTGTTAGACACACCAGGAACGTCTAGTTCCATATCTGCCTATTGCTAGCGACAATAAAATTCATATTCTGTTATTCACATATTTGAGGTAGAAGCCCTCTGAGGAGTCATGTTCAGACACAGATTAGCGGTAGCGGTGATCCCAAATCAGAGGTCAGATTTTACACCTACCAATTTCTGGTTTCAGATATAGAATATCTTGAAAAATATCTTGAAAATATCTTGAAAAACATCTACTACCTATTACAGGCTCACACACATGGAAAGATACTGGAGAAGCGGCAGTTTAGGCACTACTAAAGAAACAAATGCAAGATGTTTCATGCTGACTACAACAGATACAGATGAGGATTCAAATGAAAATGACCAGAAGTTCTCACCACTTTTCTATGAYGTTATTAACCTGTAAACAATGACACATTTCTGAAAGATCGGGCAATAAAGTTTCAGGACCTAATTCTGATCAATTATGTTTTTAATTCAGAACAAGCAAGAGCAAAATAGACTATTGCACTCATCTATGAAAAAGGAGGTAGGTAACATCCCAAAGCGAAATATTTAGTGGTGCTGCATCTTAGGCTCTCCAAAGACAGTCACTATGCAACACTGCAGCTAAAAATACAACATTTTTATTTGCTCTTTTTAAGTAAACCTGCAATCCTCAAATTCTTTGATACAGTAAAAAGAAAAAAAAAAAAAAAAAGAAAATACAAGGCAAACAAAAAGCCCTCTGTTCTGTATAACTGTATTTTTGATTTGACAGCTACAATTATAATCATTCAGACATCTATTTCCCACAAACTCTCCACAGCCATAACCTTTAGTGATTAATTATAAAGTTCCAGGAGCAATAGTACACAGACTAATTTCCTAAAACAATAAAAGACAGAATTTCTCATTTGGAGCTAAATGAAACACGAGCAGGTTGTTATTCATGCTGAAATCTAGATGCAGAGTCATGTTGCAGCCATTACAGAAGCTATTAAACACAACCTCAAATCAAAGAAACTGTAGGTCTCTCTCCTAAAATAAAATGTTTTTCTCACTTATGAGGCTTCTGACTCCTTTGCTGTGTTTCTTTCTCCCCGCTTCTTGGTAAAAAAAAAATTCAAAATTCAATTTTCTTTCTCATTTCACATCCCCATTTTGTTTTTAATAGTCATTTAAATTGTAACAGTCTAGAGCAAAACAAACGTTTGGTAAAGCTTTCAAGCACACAGGATTATCCTGGCATTGTCTTCACAGTGAATCAAAGTTACTAAGTGTGTAGCAACACCTAAACAAAAGGCAGCTCCCTCCACTTTAGTCTAAAGTGAGTTATTTGCCAATTCCTCAATTATTCTGAATAGTAAAATGAGCTGTTCCTAGTTACATTTTTACAGTGCTATGAGTTTTGTTTCTTTTTGGACATATCCAGCCATCCTGCTTAATGACCTTTTAAAAAGGATCCTCCAAAGGGAGAGAGAAACCATACACTACAAAACTGATCTTAATGCTGGCATTGCAGGTATTAAAAAAGAAACGACGTGTTATTGGTGATCTTCATTAGTGGTAGTCCTTTTTTGTTAAGGTCTTATTATTCTGCTCACAAGCAATGTTGGCATTCACTCCAGGAAATTCACTATTCTACTGAACAGAAAAAGGGGAAAAAATGGGAAAAGATCTTTACACAACAGACACCATATCCTTATCCTTGGACCCACTGTAATTTCTGCTAAAATTAGTGAGAATTTCTCCAAATATTTAAATGGGTATTTCATCAGTTTTATAACTTACTGAATTGCTAGGATATAGAGAACTTCCATTCAATATGCACACCCTTGACATATTTCAGAAAGGCTTGCATGGTAGTCCCCCATAAAACTTGTCAACCAGGTAACTAGTTGACTAGAGATAATATTACTACTGCATTGCACATCCTCTCCATCAGAACTATAAAAGACCTGTAAAAGCAGGTAACATACCTAACCATAAACTGAAAACTTAGCAAGCTTTTGTAAAACTGTTCTAAAAAATACAAATATTAGCCCCATATTTTTTCTGTCTGAAGAGCCTTGCTTTCATATAGCAACTCAATCTTCAGTCATACTTTTTAGCTTCCACTGACACCTCATAGCTTCATTTTAAACTATATACAGACTAAAGAAGTTACACAAATTAAACAAGCTTTTCAGTGAATTCTGAATTCTTTTCTGAATTCAGTACGCACTAATTGATTAGGGTCTGAGGGGTGAAAAAGAAAGACACATTCTACATAATAGGAAGTTGGGGAAGGGCAACTGATGCATGAATTAGAAGCCAGATTTCTTCAATACAGATGAGTACACAAAATTAGCAATAGGCAATACCACTTTTGGAAAGACTGCTTTGTGCATAATTTGTCATGAATTCAAAGTTGTTCCTGTAGAAAATGAGCCTAAGACCTCCCAGCTGCTGCTTTATTGGTCTAATAAATTACCATTTTGACGGTACAAAGCATCTCCACTCTCGCCCATCCAAGCAACCAAAGGGCCAGAGCAGCTTTGGCCTTGGGGCGCGTGTGTGGCTTGCAGACGCGGGCAGTGGCAGCGCTGGTGACGAAAACAAGGCTGCCTTGGCTTCTAAAAGGGAAAGAGCCTACTGAAARAGAGGAGCTTAGTCAAAATAAAGGTAATTCTTGAAAGATCTGCCCTGATGGTTACTAACAACTGTCAGCCTTCTGAGGGAAAATGCCTCGTTTTCTAGATTCTCCACAGTATTTAAGTTAAGACCTTTTCTATACACCTGGAAAGATCTTCAGAATAAAAACAACAACAAAACATATTCTCTTCAAGGATCCATTTCTGCTTTGAACTCTGTGCCCTGCTCCTGTGCAGTTGGGACTCGGGACTTGGTTCAGGTCTCTATCTGTTTATGATAGCCCACATTGAGCATGGGTTCAGTGCCAGTGCCTCTGTCCTAAGGTTTTGCATCTAGGCAGCCTGTAGCAAATATTTATTATGATCCTGTTTCATCATCCTGGTTAGTAAGCATCCATTCAAGGAAAGAACAAAATACTGAAAAGCTAAGAGTAATTTAGCATTCCCTGCTTTACCTTTCTCCAGTGAACTGCGGTGAGTCATAATGAGCTCCAACAACCTGATGCTTTGGAAACTTTCCATAATCTACAGGGAATCTCCAAACTCAATGTTTTATCCCTAAGATAGAAGTCTTTTGTGACTTAGAATGTATTTAGAGAGCAGTTTAGAATGTCTTCACCAAGTGAAGTGATTTTGAGTCAATGAGCAGGGAGCAAAACTTACAAAAACAGAAGAGCACAAGAATTTGATACAGGATTTAGGTTTTGCTTCCCATGCCCAAAACAGATGTTAAGCCTGCCCTTCAGCTTGCACACAGAGCATTACTTACCTGCATTAGAATTGAGTTCCTCATTTTCTGATTCTGTTCCATTTTGACTTCCACTTCCATGAAGGCTACTCATCGCCATAAGTTTCATCTTCTGTAACTTCATAGCCTCTGCCATRGCAGCAGCTGTCAGACCTATATAAGTAAATTAAATATAAGTAAATTAAAATGTAGTATCATATGATATAACACAACACAGAAAAATATGAAAATCAGACAATTTCCTTTCACTGAGAATAACTATATCATATAAAGTCATACATTTCTATACCTTTCTGAATTACTAATTTTCACATCCTATGTTGCCACACATTCTTAAATTAAAATATTTTATTTTAAAAGCAGCTATGAACATGATATCTAGATTTGTTGCACTGCTCTTAGAGTAGGCTTCAAAAATAAAGGCAACTGCCTAAAATAAAGCAGACTTTAGGCAGAGGAGAAGGACATGACAAGTTTTCTCATACAAAGGTATAGAAACCGCAGCTACACTCTCCTGGAATCCAAAAGTACTGGTGCCAGACCACAAATATCTCCTCTTTCAAGCAGGCATTTCTTTTACAGCTCTGTTGCTCATGTGAAAAACTATATTGACTTCCTTTTAAGTATAAATTAAACACATATAAATAATAAGTTCAGACAACAGCATCATCAACTTTAGTGCAGACTTTACACACCACACGGAAGAGCACTGCACTCCAACAATAACCTTTTCTGACTTAAAAATAAAATTGCTCCAACATCCTTCAAAGTTCTTCTGCAAAAGCTACAGGTTTTTCATTAATCAAGTAAATATCAAATCCTGCTGTTATCGCTGCTACTTTCACAACATCTTTGGCCGACGTCACTAACACCTAATCCAGCACAGTACAGATCTTAAACGCTCACACTRTCCCAAGAACCAAGAACTAAACTTTCAGGAACAGATGAAATATTTTATAAACTCATCACCACTTCTTTTCCAGAGAAAGGAAGGAAGATTAAGTTAATTTCACATTATTTTCAGTAACTTCAAAAGAGAAGCATCAATACATGTCTTCTAAAGAATTTACTATTAGCAAGATTTTCAGGCACCTATGTGATTTGTTGGCCCACCTGAACTTCCAAATTTTGATCCTACTCCAAACGATTTTGAGTTTTGAGACACATTCATCATTAAAACTTCTTTTTCAGAACTTGTACTTGCTCACAGGCTCTCCTACTCTAACTTTATACTTCTGACACATTACAAAAAATACTTTTATATTAAAGGTTACTAAAGATAAACAGTTTGTATACGGAGGTTTTTGTCATAGTATTTTAGCACCAAATATGTACAGATGAGCCAGTGTCCCAATAATTTTCATCTGGCTCAGTATTTATACCTGCTGTTGATATTCAAAGTGACAAAAGAGAGAAGAATTTATTCATAAGGACATAAGCAGAGACTGGAAAGCAAGTTCAGACATCTGTTAATAAGCGAAAAGTAAAGACCGAGCATTAGACAGGGCCCTGAATAAAAACAGCGTCTTCTGTGCAGTTGTGTGAACCAGGCAGAAAGCGTGTGTGAAACCACCAGAACGGAACCAGCAGAGCTCCAGAACCACCACAGCGCAGCCTGCAGAAATTAAACACAATTATTGCCAGGCCTTTTGGAGCTCCCTCACCAGACACAGCTGCCGTGAGGACCACGGCCAAAACCCTGATGTATCTGATGTATCTGAGGTCGATGCTGTGCCATCTGCCACACCAACGTGACGCTACGCCAGCATTTAAAGCATGAAGTCAAGAAAGGAAAGGGTGTTCTAGCTAACGTGGAGAGCTACAGTTGAAACATCCTGAGTGTCCAGGCACAGGGGTGAGGCAAAGAGGGCCAATGCCACCTCCAAGCTGAACTTCAGTGAGGTCTTTATACTCCCTTTTAGCTCTTCTCCAGTCTATATCAGTTGTTGCTTGAGCTGGGATTGTGGGAGCCCCACAATCCGACTATAGGAGACACCCGAAATACACTGTATTAATTCCTCAAAATACCTGAAAGCTGATAAAACTGAGGTAAAATAAATGGTTTCAGCAGTGAGGGAGGGCAACAGACTGAAAYGATGGCAGAAAATGTCCAGCAAGTCACATATTGTCCTGATCTTCAAGGAAGGCTGTTGCAGAGGCACGGCTGGAGCTRGTATTTAAATCAACCTATAATAAAACTCTTCTCTATGACTGACTCARCTCTGGCTAGCTGTGGCACGGGGGGCTATTCTTCAACTGACTTATCTAAATATCTACAAAGAACTGAATCATTTTCATGATTACCAGCAAAAAAAAAAAGTCATATTGGAGTACCTGGCTTTGAAAATGTCCTAGGAAAATGCTGCTAAGTGTACGTCTATCCCTCTGCTTTCACCTATGAAGAGGAATCACGAGGAAAGCAGGCACGCTGGATTACAAACTTCAAAGCTTTTTCCCTCCATTTACACTTTAAATGCTCTTCCTTTAGCTATCTTCTCCCAGCTGTTATCAATCACCAAACACCCAGGAAATAAACTACATAACGCTGAATTTCAAACACACCCAGCCTTCACAACCCTTCAAAAACAAAGGGAAAAAAGAAAAAAAGAAAAAAAAAGAAAAAAAAAAAAAAAGAGCACTCTCTCTTCATTGTGTAATTTAGGTTTAGCCAGGGCCTAGGTACTCTCCCCTTCTGCCCAACACTACCGGACAACACAGTAATTTACCCTGGTACAAACCTTGCAGGAGGCAGAAACCGGTTCAGAAAGCAGAAGTGAGCTTCTGAAACCACATAAGCCTTAAATTTCAGTGTTAAATCAGGCCCGTCCCCATGTTAGGCAGCACCACGGCGCTCCGGGAATACCGGTCGCTGGCGGGATGCGGGAGATAGCGGGAGATAGCGGAGCGGCAGCGTGTCGGGGTCTGAGGAGCACATTCCCGGGCACCATCCATGCCGGSCCGCCCACACCAAGCTCCCTGGAGCGCCTCGGAGGGCCGGAGAGCTTTTCCCACCTATTAAGGCTAGAGGTTAACTGACTGCTCGGACCCCCCCTTACACACGCACAGACACCATCACTCCATGAAGCTGCAGGAAAGGCTTCAACCAAAGGGCATTTTGGCTGTTTGGTCCAAGGACAACAGCCCATGGTCTTTGGTACTGGGGCCAGTCTCAGGCCTTCAGTAAACGACAGCATTGGGACCGGCCAACACCTGCCTGGGGAGACCAGACACTCAGGCTCCATCACTTCATGGCACTGATGCACTCAGGGTGCCTTGAATATAAGTGAATCCCAACAAAAATTGGCTTTGCAATTGGTAAATTCATAACTACAAGGACCAAGTCAGTTCTCTGGGTACTTTAAGGTGACCCCTGCTATCTGCTAATCTTGCACCCAAACTACAGCTATTTTTTCAGGTTCCTAATTAGTTAGACTGTGTCCCTCCTTCGTATTAGTTTGAAAGCTTTTCTGTCAGAACTGTGAACAAGTAAATTAACAAAGGGAGAACTATGAGTAATCAAATCTTGAGGTTTGCAATTAATTAAATGAAACGGTGAGTCAGTGAACTGAAGAATGGTCTTATATTAAAACAAAGCATTTAATTAAATTAACCGTCAACACATTGCAATTAATAATATTCAAAAGAAAAAAAATGAAAACCGGTTTAGCCTTGCCATATTATTTCAGTTTAACAGTCAGGCATTRTGCATCAGCTTGTTTGTTATTTGCATTCAAAGCTGCTGTGGGTCAAGTATGATGTGCTAAAACAGGAATAATGAAACATCTGGCAGTATGAAATGTTAATGTGAGATACCATATTGCAAACAGTGAAAACAATTTCTAAACATCCAATAAATTAGGCCTTCGAATACTGAAAGGATGTGCTTTCTTCCCTATTTTCTTCAATAAGGATATTTAGAATAATAAACACACACTGCACTTCAAGGTTTCAGAATGCCTGCAAGAACTGTTTTCAGAGAGCATTACTAGAAAGCAAAGACTTCTCTGTAGCTGGAATGGATCATTTTAATTTAGCGATTATCAGAGGTAAAATCCATCTACTAACTTGAACAAGAGTTAAACTGAAATCTTGATTAGGAACTTGAATGCAGTCAAAGTGTTAGGAACATTTTGTGACATATCCAAACATGCAAGCTCCTTCCTTCCTTCCTCCTTTCCCTTCCTTCTCTTCCTTCCCTTCCCTTCTTCCACTCGTGTAAACCGACTCAGTCAGAAACCCTTTGCCAGCTCGGTTTGCAAGGGCTGCACGTGGACAACCTGCCACCGTTTCAGATAAGTCGGAAAAATCCATTACCGGAAGCACGGGAGAGAACCCAGCGTGGTCAATGACTGGCCACTGCAGGCCCGGGATGGGATTTCGGAGCAAGCACCGCAGCAGGGAGCTTTATCAGGGCTAAATTGCTTGAGGACCCCCCCCAAAGTCCTGGGAGCCCCTTTGGAGCCTCGGCTGAAATCCATGTTACACCATTTGACACTGCCAGGCTGAAATGTAGTCGATAGCCAAAGAACGTGCTACAATAGCTGAGCCTACTTCATCTGCTCTGACATCAGTGCTAGCTGTGCTGGTATTACAGCCACTTTCTCAAGAGGTGCATGTTTTATCTCTCGTTTTGCAACAGGGAAACCCCCCGACAACAGAGGGAATTTACAGTTAAAAAAATAAAAAAAAATAAAAAAAAAAATAATAAAAAAAAAGCAGATATACATAATATCCCACTAAATGGACAAAATGAAATCGAAAATAAAGATTAATTTGCTAAACTCCTTCACTTAATGAAACTTTGGAGACCACAGAGGATTTCTGTAGGTAAAACATCTCAGAAACTACCGTAAGCGCTACTGTGCCAAAAGAACATCACTAAGGGATATAAATTAAATATAAATACTAGGCATATTTGTCAGGAATTGCTGGGAATTAATCTTTCCCCGACGAGCTAAATTACCCTTCTTTTGCAATGAATTGWCATAGAGCCTTTACCTGGGAGACCTTGTTCTCTGCCTTTGTGCAGTCCCTGCATCTCCCCTGGCCACCGTCTGCAGCAGCTAGATAGGCACAGACCCGCAGGTCAGCCTCTTCATCACACGGCCCTGACACAACCACAGGTCAATCGATCCTCTATCATCAAGCAGACA